TTAGGTTGCATGGCTTCCGCTGTTGCAGCCAGTCAGATGGCAGCGCGTCACACAGTGTTTTTTGCTTTAGAACCAGCACGCCGTGAAATTAGAGTTGCGACCTTGCAACACCATTCTGGGAGGAGGAAAACACCACACCAACTGCATGCACACGCCTTACACACACACGAACACTAGACTGAAAGAAAACAAACATGTTGCCAGCCACACAGTGTACCACACACGTCCCAAGGGACGACACAGAGTGGTCCATTAAGAGGAGGTTGCACCCCCAGGCCGGAGTGTCTGGGAAACGACAATGGATTTCAAGAACTCCACTACATTCTCACTCCTAAGATTACACTACTCTTTGCGTCATGTCTGTTTTTTTTCTCTCCTTCTCTTCCCTCTCAACCCCCTTTTCTTCCTCGTCCCACTTTCCCTATCCCTCTCCTTTTTCTCCCTTCCTTCGTTTTCTTCTTCCTTTTCCCATTTTCCTAAAAACTCTCTTCCTTCTTCTTTTTGGCCTCTCAGTGGGTTTTTCTCCTTTCCCGTCTGCCAAACCCTCAGTTTATGCCACCCCCTCCTGTCCATATCCTCCTCCCTCGGTCTTCAGGTCATCCTTGTCGCCGTCTCACCTTTCCGTGCTCCCCCCCTCTCTCCCCCCCTCTCTCTGACAATGTCACAGTGTAACTGCACTGAGCATCATTAGGCTTCAGAAGGAGCGACTAAGAGTCAGTGCAACCTGGAAATGAACAGAAGAAAGTAGAAGCGGAGTGTAAAATATGAGGTAAAAGGATTTAATGACCACTCAGAGAAGCAGGTTCACAGCACTTGCCAGAGATAAGATAAGAGTTGACCTTCTGCTTTCTTGTCGTCTATTCAGAGTTACCCTTCTTTCTATTGCTGTTTCTCTTGTTTCTTGCTTTTTCAGTTCCGTCTCTCTGGGCTTTTGTTCTGCTGTCTGTCACTGACTCTCTTTTTCTAGCTTTTTCTCTTTCGTTCCTCAATTCATTGCAGTTCAATGAAGCTTTCTTAGCATGATGTATTCATGCAAAAAATATGTCACTAAAGCGTTGGAGCCATTACATGATTTTTATGGCAAAAAATCATGAGGCAAACATTTTATTTTAGTCTTTTCCATCAGAATGTTTTAAATTTGATTTTCAAAGAATTCTGACCAAGATATATACTGACTAGGACATTCTACAGTTGAAAAATAAACTTAAGTGCTTCCTGTTAAACTATGTAATGGAGACACTGTAAACATCCTGAAACACATTTTTGCTGTATTGCTTTTTTGTACTACAGATTTGTTACTTATGACAACATAAGACAAGCCGAAATCTGCTAAGAGAAGAAACATTATGAGCAGCTGTTCTGTTATATTCTCTTGTAGTATATGTAGTATAATCTGTTTCAGAAGTTTCACAAGTTGTTTAATGTTTTGGGAATTCTATGGAAAAATGAATGACTTTGCTTCTTCTGTGTCACGGTGGGCATGTAATAGTTTTTTGGTTGGCAAAGAGGAGAAAAAGTTTTTTTTTCCCCAAATCACCATCATTTGACCATTTATAATAGCCTTTATGTTTTTGCTAATAAACAAAGTTTCTTTTTCCTAGCCTCCTTAAGTCAACACCGGTCTTTCACATTAGGCCACATCCATTTCTGGCTGATGGGATTGTTAATTTTTTGGAAATATAGCTTTGTCCTACAAATTCAGAAGTCATTAAGATTTCCCACAACTAGTTGATAAATTCATTCAAGTGTGACTTGTTTAGTGTAATGTAAACTGCCATAACTCTTAAACATACAGTAGCAATCGATTGCATGCTCATGTCATTTTGATGAGATAGATACCAGATAGCAGATATTAATTCTGAGCGATCCCGTTACATTTATAGGTGGTGCTATTCAGCAACATAATACATTGAAATGGCTAGAGCTCGGTGAACTTGCATCTGACTCATTTGGAATTTTTCACAATTCATCATTCTTGTACAAAGGCCTAGTGTTGAGTACTCAGAGATTTATTCTTTATTCTTCAGATGAAATTATAGCCATCATCTGCCAGTGTTGAGATGTGGTCTTATTCAGATTACATTTGAACTAAAAAGGACACATTTAGAGGGTTGTTTGTCTCTAATGCTTTCTAGTTCATTTTTCTCTCTGGGCTCTCTAGTATTACTGGTGGTCTCGGGGGGTTTACCCCAGATGATGGCACCTTTTCTCAGGCTTTTGTAGTTCCTCCTCCTTCTAATCCTTTGTTTGTTATGTGGTCTTTTTTATTTAATGGGGGGCTGCTCGGATGATGTAATCTCTGCCTGTTTTCTATGCACCTTAGAGTTAATCTGTATGCATCAAACTGGTCTAATAAAGGGACGCTTTTAAATTCAATAAACTCTAATTTCCTCTGGCCTCTTTTACTGTTTGGCTCACTCTCTCCATCTCCCTTCTTTTCTCTTCACTCGCTCGATCTCACCTCCAGATTTAAAAGTGCTTTGCTTTTTGGCATGAAAATGAAAATGAAAACTTGCCAAAGCATCAAAAACGTTTTAAGTGATCAACTTTGATCTTTCTGCATCTTTCTGAGTGTGCTGCATAAATCCGACCCTTCTCTCCTCTGTGTCTCAGGGTCTAACTCGTGGCAGGTTGTGTCTGCTGGAGGTGCGGTGGTCCAGGGAGGTTACGGCCACAGCAGCGTGTACGATGAGGCCAGTGGCTGCGTGTTTGTCCACGGGGGATACAAGGCACTTAGCAACAACAAATACGGCCTGGTGGACCACATGTACCGATACCACGTCCACACGAAAACATGGTAAGAGCACAGAATAGTATGACCTTTGAATATGCATCTGTTTTATCAGCAAACGTTGAGGTGTTGACCAGACACTGATGTCCCGCAGCGACGCTGAAACCGGCCAAAACGCAAATTGCATTGACATCCGCAGTCAGACTATATGAGCTGCCTGCATCATTGTGTATAAATCGTTTATCTTGTCCCAGGTTGCAGGGAGCTGAGCCAATCCCATAATGCACTAGGTCATAGGCAGGCATTCTGGACAGGTTACCAGTCATTCATAAGGCTGACACACCTTTGAGAAAATGACACTGCTGTACTGTAAAAATATATTCAGGTAACTTTGGTTGATGTCAAACTTGCTGTTTTTTTTTGTTGTTTGTGAGACAAGAAAGACTGTTTGTGAATTTACTTTGTACTTTATCCAACTACAGTCTTGAGGTGCAGTTTTGTTTTGTCTCCTCGCTTTTAGAGTCCAGAGGGTAATTTAATAATTTTTTTTTAACTCCACTACATTTATCTGATGGTGGTTAATGGTCACTCTTCAGATTTTACATCCATCATGAGATCATTAAAATATTACATCCACCCTTTTGCTTTTTAGACATTATCTAAATGTAGAAGAGCATGTCCTCTTTTGACTGATCTGGAAGTATTTCAGTTTTTATAAAATTATCTTATTCAGTTTCATCTCTTTTTTTTTTTTATTAATTATTTTGGCAATTTGTTTAACAGATTCTGATACATTAACACATGTGACAACAATAACCTTCTTAGAGGAACCATTCTTGACTATAGTTACATTTGACACTTAAAAATGTACTCAAGAAGTTGTTTTCTTATACTGAAGTACATTTGTGAATGCAGGACTTTACCTATTTTCATCTCTTTGATGCAGTGTTGCAATTCAAATAAACCTGTAATTATGATAATGATGAGTTATTATATATTGTATAGTGCAATGTAATCCAAGCTTACAATGATAATTATTAACACATTACATGGAAAACCTGTTGCTGAACACAAAGTTATAGCAGTTCTCACCCATATATAGATATTACAAAATGTAAAGAAATCATGGTGTTTTTTGTTTTATAGCCATCATCACCGTTTAACTTGAGCCTTGGCAAATGAAACAGATGCTCCAAACCTGTATGTAGACATGATGGTGATTTTTATTTTCAAAATGTATGCAAACACTTTTAGAGAAGGAAAATTAGCATACTTGAGTCAGGAAGAAGAGAGCACGGTGAGAATAGAAGGAAGTGACAGGGGGTTTGACCTCAGGTGACCTCAGGCAGATGGATGGGTGAAAGAGGACGCTTGGCTCTATCAGTCTCTCCTCTTCACGTAGCGTACATTCACGTGTGCGCTCACACACACACATTAACCAACATATGCTCACATGTACACACACATACACAGGCAACCTGCTGTCTCTCTGTGGCTCTCACTTTCCAGATGGAATTTCTTGTCGGAGTCAGGTGTCACTTGAGCCAGTGAACTTTTGAAATTCTCAGACCAAAACATTTCAGGGTATTCCGGCTATTCCATACAGCTCCAGCCTCAATGTAAAGATCACCTCTTCTCTGTCAGCAGAAAACTCCTGACAAGTCTACCAGTGCAGGAAGAGTCCTGTACATGGCAGCTGCATATTAGTGGTCCAAAAAGTCATTACATTATGGTTCACTAGGCTTACTTAACATCCATTTCATTTTATTTCACAAAATTAAAACAAAAATGAATGAAATGCAACTGTTGCCTTAAATGTAATGTCATCTCATTAAGGCTTTTAAGACAGTTTTTTTCTAATCATAATGTGTTAATTAACCAAAACAAGAACAAGACAATACAAAAGTTAAAATGATAAAGCTGCCCTTGTTGTCTTCAATGTCAGTAAAACCAAGTTAACTAATGTCCGTGTATAATAGTTTGATAAGTTGTCTTCCTCTTCCTTTCTTTGTTGTTTATTTAAACACAATACTCCCTTCATGTTTACCCATTGTCTTGATAAATTCAGGATAATTCATCAGGTACACCTAGCTAAAACTAATGCAGTTGAATACGACAGCCCTGCAAGAAAATACTACCTTTTGTGAAGGTTATATTTAGTTTTTGGAGGATGTAGTTTGTGCTTGAATTGCTTTACTATACTATTAATATTACACACTGGTAGTGTACCCTCATTGATATAAACTGGGTGGATGGAAGTTTAGAAACACTCTTTTGTGACCTCAGACGTCTGCAGAGCCACAACGATAAAGTGTTTACTTTTTGAATGTATGGAGAGAAAAAAATGTATTTCAGTGGCTTAAAGTTCTGAGAATGACTTAAATAATTTTCCAACACAGTAGTGGTCAGTCTTTTTACTTTTGGTTTTAGTTAGACCTCTCACTAAACACAGAGTAATCTAAGGGATGACCAAATGAACAAATTATTCTCTTATCTGGATGGGTTCTTCCTGTGTTCATCAGTTACGAGGGCTCAGTGTGTTCCTTTTCAGAACTGTCGAACATCAAAGTCTCTGGTGGAAAGTCTGAGTTGCTGCAGTAATTGAAGAAGCCACAGATAGCCACCACAGTTGGTCTCCAATATGTGACCTTTGACCTCAAAGAGGTCACACACAGCAGACTGAGACCTCCTACAACGTCTGTGTTGAGTGTTTCTGTATCCCTGCGTGTGTGTGTGTACTGCGCCCATGAAAGAACAGTTGGTATGAAGGGCAGTCACCACAGGCCAGGTCACACACCCAGACAGACGCCATCAATAACATGGCACCATGGACACATGCATGCGCGCAGACATGCACACATAACTGACAAATTAACACTTTCTTAAAATGTCTCAACTTGCAGAGTTGCACTTTTTTCTCTCTGACTGTGTGTGTGTGTGTGTATGTGTGTGTGCGCAGGTTGATCCTCGGGGAGAGTGGTCTGGCACGGTACGTCCACTCTGCGGTGCTGCTGAGCGGCACTGTGCTGGTTTTCGGGGGAAACACTCACAATGACACGTCTCTAAGCAACGGAGCAAAGTGCTTTTCCGCTGACTTCATGGCGTACGATATAGGTAAGGACAAGTCTTAAATAATCACACACATACACCAGGGAACTGCTGGAACTGTATTATGCAGCAGATGTAACACATATTAGGTAAATGACCATATGTACTGTAGCTCTGTCTACTCAAATTGAAACTGTTCTCTCAGTCTACCTCAGGGCTGCAAACTGGGTGCTTTTACTTTAAAGGTGCAATGCCTGGTCAGGATGGCCTCCATGCAAGCTCATTTTAAAAGGCATCATTACATGAGTTTTTATTCATTCATTCTTAGCAGTAACAATTCAGTTTTTTACCAATATTGTTTTTGACTCCAGTTCACCTCGTCATCCTCCATTGTTGTTGAAATGTGTCAATGAAAAGGTTTTCAAAGCTTTCCAAGAAAAAGTGCAATAGAGGAACATCTAGTGAACGGAGCTCCTCAAAGATGAATCATATTATGTTTGATACATAATTCATACATAATAATATTCTCAATTATTGTACTATCAAACATATTCAACATACTGTATTTACCATGCTACATACTGTGTAAGCTTGTGATAATAATTGAGGGGCATATACACACACATCCTGATAAGCCAGTCTTTAACTCATGATGACACACTGAGAAAAGAGATTTAATTTGTTCTTAGTAGTCATTCATAGTGCCTTTCTAGACCCAGAAACACACATACATACAAATGTTGAGTTTTAACTGCTGATTGTGAATCAAAATTGTGCAGCAGCAGCATTTGATGTAATGCCCTTAATGATGCATACCGTCTGAAGAGAGGGAAAGAGGAAGCTTACAGTAACAGAGCCAAAACACAACAACAACAAATAATCTGAAAGAGCCTGTGAGGAAGAAAACAGGAGTATGTCAGGATACAGAGACTGTGGTATAGGGAAAGAGTATGGATGATTAAGGATCCAATTACAGGCTACCCAGTTGCACCATAGACCAGATGGCACGAGGATGTTTCCACCCCTCAACAGGTACAGAAAAATGGAGCGGTGAAGGTAGCTTTGGGAGAGGAAAAGAGGGATTACATCAACTCTTCACAGGAGAGAAACGACAGGGAGCGGAGAGATTAACACAGTGGAGACAGAAAGGAGGGAAAAATGAAAGATGGATGTGTATGCATGGAGAAAGCGGCTTTATGGTGGAGTGTGAAAACATTAAAAAAGAAAAAAAAGATGCCTGTGTTCTTTACAAGAGGACCATGAGGTAGCGGAAGCATGCTGGTGGCTCAGCAGGCAAAGCTGCTTCCATGTCCTTGTAACACTGTAGTGAAGTGGCACAATTAATTGTATTCTATAACTGTATGTTGAACTTGCTAATGGTTAGGTGTCCTTTAGTACCGAAACAATTATTTTATTAATCCGTTAGTTGATTGACAGAAATAATCTAAAATGTTTATGTCTTACTTCCAGACAGGATCCAAGTGGACTGTATTAGCTTTGATCATGTGGCATGTTGTAATAATCATAGGGGAAACCTGTTTTTGGGAGGTGTGTGAGTGAACTGTGAAATGCAGAGAGAAATGATGTTTTGCTGCTCTTTTTGATACTGATTGCTAGTTAATGCTGCCAGTGTTTGGGTTCTTTCTCTATTCTGGTCCTTTTTGGTTGAATACATTGTGTTATATTCAGTTCTATTATGGACCCAGTCTGACTGTCTTTTATGATTAAAGAAGCACTTCACCCGTGGAAACATTAATCTTTATTGAAAGTGGGTTATATATGTAGTCGAAATGTAACATAAATTTTGAATTTGGTGCCTATTTGACCGAGAAAAGAGTGTTTGTAGTCTCACCCCCTTCTACAAAGATATGAGACTTCGCTGCCTTCCAGTGAGTGCACAGAATGACAGCTTCTTGTACGATCAGTTGCGAAGGCAGGAAGTGCGAAATGCTGAACATCCGCAGTGTTCTCCCGTCTCAGGGGGGAAAACGGAGTGGAATGTGCCGCATTCCAAAAGTGGGAATGACTGGGTTTCTAACAATACAAAGTTAGATGCAAGGTCCGACTGGGGTGCAGAGCGGGTGTCCCTTTAAGTCTCCTTTTTAAAACATTTCATTTGGGTAGGTGTCCCAAGATTTTGTTCTCGTGAAGACCTCCAGGTCAGACAGAAACCAGCATTATGAAGCATCCTCCAACCAGACAACAGGGTTCCTGCCCGAGTTGTTCTGCACAACCACAGTCCTCTGCAATTGGCTACTGTGCAGCTCAATGAGAGCTTAAAGGTCCGGTGTGTAACATTTAGAAGGATCAGATGGCAGAAAAAGAGAATGTAATACTCATAGGTATGCTGTCATTAGTGTATAATCACCTGAATGTAACAATTGTTTTTGTTACATTAAAATGAGCTGTTTTTATCTCCATGCCATGGGTCGCCTCTTGTGGCGGCTGCCATGTCATACTACCATGTTTCTACAGTATCCCCGACTGGACAAATCAAATGCTGTTTTTAGATTGGGCCGTTGAAAGGGAGGGGGAAGCCATTGAGCTGCAACTGAAAGTACAACACTAGATGGCAATAAATCCTACACACTGGACCTTTAAGGGCCTTGCTCAAGGGTGTCCCAGGAGTGGTTGATTGAGGATGAGACTCATACAGTATTTTGTACTGTATTTGTATGGTATTTTCTTTTCCCATCAACCATTTCCCAGTTTGTTCTTCATAAACTATTGATGCCATCGGCCACTAGTATTTATAAAGTATCAGTAGTATTAGTATGTAAGGTATATAGTATAGTATTTTCCACAATTACTAATCATTATATTTTTTTCCTAGATAGAATTCTTGAGTACTAGTTCGATTATTTTTAAAAGCCAACAGTTCCACAAGGGTGAAAAAAGACCTTGAGAAAAAGCTGAACCTTCAGTTGAACATTTAATCAAGAAAGTACAATGGTAATTTTTTCAAACATAATCAAATTTTTGTTATTCTAATGTTATCATCTAGCCCTTTGTTGGTGCAAATTCCTCTCCCCTCCTCTTTCTTTCATAGTTCTTGTCACTCTCTGCTGTAAACGACAAAATACCAGGGAGGATATTGGTTAGATAAAGAGGTTAATGTGAGGAAGCAGATGAAATAAGAGAGCAGGGCATTTGAGGAAGGAGAGTGGGATTATAGAGTGGGAGAGAAATAAAGAGTAAATGAAGGAGGGATTTAGGGAGAGAAAGGAGACGACGTTGGAAGAGAATTACCTAAAGACAATAAAGGTGTGCGAGGATGAAGCAGATAATAAGCTTATGAATAAAAAGCGAAACCAAAGGTAATAAGCAATAAAGCATTTGTTTACAGAGCGTCTCCATCTTGGAGAAGTTGGAGGCAACGCAGTGTTGAATGCTGTCCTGTTTTTTGCCCCATCAACACTTGGCAGTAAATGTGTGTATTTACATGTCCCTCAACTCTGCACAAACACACCCCTGTCTTTATAAATATCATCATTTATTCATTACAGCTCGTATCTGCAGATCTGCACTACTTTATTGTCCAATAGCCACCTCTCTGACTCACTGCAGAGACATGGGAGGGAGGGAGGGAGGGAGGGTAGTGATGGTTAAAAGAGAGAAAATAAAGGGAAACTAAATGATGGGAGAAAGAAGGATGCTACAGTGAGAGACAGTGTGTTAAAGACATTGAAGGCAAAACTATGGGGCCATTATTGTAGCAGAACTATTTACAGATTTGAGTAGAGAGTTTTGGAACTGGATCTCAGTCAGTGTGTGTCAGAATCTGTAACTATGTACTGATATTTGTGAATGTTGACAGGAATGTGCAAGTGTGTGTTCAGAATCCCTGTGTAATCAGATTTGTAAATGTGTAGACAAATCTGTAAATGTGTATATAGATCTGAAAATGGCAAAAGTGTAGCAACAGTCACATGTAAAAAGATTTTTGATTGAGAGTCCTGCCTGAGTTGTAATCGAGGAATAGTCTACTTCCAGCGCTTGAAGCACATACTTGGACTTCTCAGCCATTAATATGTATGTCTGCTTTTACAGATTTGTGTACACATTTACAATTCTCAATACATCTTGAATCTGAATACAGATTTGTCTGTATTTTTGTGTCTCTCTCTCCACTCACATTTGTAAATAGTTTTGTTACAATAAAACAAAGTCTAAACTGGAGGTGGTAGGGAGCGGTGCTTATGCATATTTGAAAAAATATTTGTTAGTTTTGTGTATGAATTTTCTAATCCTGGTACTAGGAACCATTTAACAATGAAGAAACGAGTTTCATATTCATCTGCCTGCCCATTTTTATGCAGTTAGCCAGGATTTACACGCTAACACAGGTAACTGCAGATCACAGGTTAAATTCAGATGCGTGATATATTGAACATGTTATATGGAATCACTTCAGTTTCTGTGGCAGCCATGTTCTCTTTCTTGAGAAAGTTCAGCTGTATGTTGTGTGTCACTGGTTCAGCTCAGTTGCTTTTCTTCTCATGGTTCTGCTAAACAGTCTCATATAACCCAGAGAGGGATTATGTGGAATTAAACTTCTCAACTGGGCCAGTGTTTAACACACTAAGGGGTTATGATGAGCTGAAGAAACAGTTTAAACCTGAGCCAACAGGAGAACCGTCTACCAGCTCCCCTCTCCTTGTTCCTGATTTCTGTCTTTCAATTTAAGACACTCATTACATGATTTTGGTATGATGTTTTCTTCTAATCCAATATAAATCATTTTATCCTGCACAATTCCCTTTAGAGTATTAAAGTGTCATTCACTTAATAGATTTTTTTTAAATATTTAATCTATTTTCCAGGTAGAAGCAAGTGTGAACAGTGGATTATAAGGCTGACACTCGATATTCTCGTTATATCTATGAGGGAAATAACTGTAAAAATTCTAAAAAACTGTGATTTTCTTTAACAGATCCATTTGGTAACAGAAGTACATTTGCAGTTGTGACAGAAAGAAGTTCTCAACATTTGTTACAGTGGAAACTGCTCACTTCTCTATTAGGATCTTCTTCAAAAAAAAGAAATTACAAATTTTAAAAGTACTT